AACAGAAACCATATGCGGAACTAGATCAAATGGATCACAGAACCCGATGTATAATTAAAATGGCTTTTAATTCTGTAGAATTTTAGGGCAACTCTATGATTTTTGCTTAGCTGAAAACCTGGTTTCAAAATTCAACGTAAAAACATGGTTCTGCACTTTCAATTTGTCAGGTTGGGTAACTTTTTTTTTTTTTTACTAACTCACCAAACCGCTTCTGAAGTTAAATCCACAACTTTTTGTTTAATAAATCAACCCACAATAGCTGCATGGATACACATACTTCTGCATTTACAAGCAGATGTATTTGCTCTAGCAGGGACATATCTTGAGTGTTTGGCAAGGGGGCAGATCCTAATTTTGACACCCCACGCTTTAAAATGTACAAAAAAAAAAAAAAGACTGCATAAAAATATTTAATGTTTTCAAGAATATTTATAACTTAAATTTGTAAAAGGGTTGGCAATGAGTGTGGTATGGTTGGAGGAGGGAGTGTGACAGGGCGAGAGACAGTGATCATGACAGGATTAGGGGGGTTATGTGACATGAGTGTGGCATGGTAGGGGTATGAGTGACAGGATTGGAGGGATTAATGTGATAGGGTAAGTGTGGCAGGGTTGGGGAATAAAAGTGTGACAAGATTAGGGGGGCTGAGTGTGGCATTGTGAACGGGTGAGTGGAATAGAGGATGAGTGTGACAGAGTTGTCAGGTGGGGGGGGGGAAGAGTTTGTGGAGAGGCTGTGTTTTAGTGACCAGCCTCCCCACACTGAAATACTTTTTTTAAGTAATCAATTCCCTGGTGGTCAAGTGGTCTCCCTCCATGATGGTCCGGTGGATTAGCTATGTGGTCTCCAGCTCTGCCATGTGGTAGAGGTCTCGCGAGGTCCGGCACTTGAAATGTCAGTGTGTTGCCATGGTAACCCACAGGACGGAGATCGCAAGACACCTATTTCACAGTCTGCAACTCTACATTTAATGCATCTGTAGACTGTATTTGTCCTCTCTCCCCCTGGCCAGAATGAGTGGGGGGCCCCTCCACACTCAGCAGCATACAGGGACAGCTGCTGGGCCACCATTCAGTATCTGGCCATCGGTCATGGCTTCAAGGCCCTGTCAGTGCTAAACCTTAGCTTAGGCAGCTCTCACCTAATTAGAGAGCTGCGTCTGCACTCCACCTAACGAGCGGCAGATTCCCTAATGAACCCAAGGCTATAAAAATCAGATAGCATCTCAAAAAAAAAAAAAAAAAAGTGATCCTGCCCATTTGGTGGATGAAAATCATCTCAGAACAGAGGAGAGCCTGTTGACATTCTGATTGAGCCATTTATTGTTTTTATTTGTTTTATTCTGTTTTTATTTGTCTTTTATTCAATTAGATAGTCTAATATTAAAAGTCCTTCTGGTCTTATCTATCTCCTTCTAAAAGAAAGGTGGACCCATTTTGTAGGCACATCAGCAAAAATACCCAGAGCCAGGTATCTGTGGGCTCTGGTAAAGGTACTTGTCTGGCTATATCATACTAGAAGTTCTCTACCTCTCCCTCTTCTCTCCTCTAACATATTACCTTGGAGATCAGAAGAGGGACAGTTTCAACAAAGCACACCCTGCTACTGCAATGTGAGTCTATTTGTCTCTAATCTATGTGAGTTTATCCTTATATTTTGTATGCAATTATTTATACACAATTATTCGTTAGAGACATTTTAGGGTCCAATTAGGGGTAAGTACCTATTTTTCCCTTTTTACCTTACTAAACTTTCAATGTCTATTTAAAGATCATTTATAAATAGGTTGCATAAAAGTGGTCCCAGAAAAGACCTCTGACAGACAGCTTGAGCCCAGCTTGAAAACGTACCATTAATAGTTACATGTACACTGAAAAGAGACATGCGTCCACCAAGTTCAGCCTGTCTCACATTTATGTTTGGTGTTGATCCAAAAAAAAGGCAGAATACCCAGTTTGAAGTGCTTCCAGTTTTGCAACAAACTAGGAAAAACTTCCTTATTGAGCCCAATCAGATATCTGCTTGGATCAAGATGCTATTACCTCACTAATTAAACATTATATCCTTGAATATTATGTTTTTGCAAGTATTTATGCAATTGCTGTTTAAACATCTGTATAGACTTTAAAAAAAAAAACAACAACAAAAAAAAACACATCTTCAGGCAGATATTTCCACCCCATTATTGTTCTTACATGGGGACACATGTCTCCCAGTGTCCCCATGTAACTAGGATAATATGGGACATGGGGACACAGAGACATGGGGGCACTCAGTGTCCACAAGTGCCCAAGTGTCCAAGCGACTAAGGGACACTGGCTGGGAGAAATGGGGACACTGAGAAACATGGGATACTGTGTCCCAATGTCTCAGTGTCTCCCAGAGTCCCCAAGTCTCCCAGCATCCCCTAATGTCTCAGTGTCCCCAAGTGTCTCCCATTGTCCCCATGTAGAGTGTGTAGGGAACTGAACTCACTCCAATCAGAGCCGGGGTGCTT